ATAGGTGCCCCATTGGAACAAGATTTCTCAATCAAGCTAAATCATTCAAAAGATTTGAGATAGACAACGCAAGATTTTCCAAGTTACAAGCAATTTTTGTTAATGTTGGGAACAAAATTTAGTGGGGAGGCTACCATTTTTCCAATCATTTTAATTTTGCCACTCCTCAGGGATTATTAGCTTGAATTGTTTCCTAATTAATTATGAATATATTTACTTTTATTTTACTTATTAATTAATTTGATTATGCAGCTATACATAATTATTTATTTATTTCATGTTCAAGTTATTTAGTAATATATATATATTTATTTATTTCATTGAATAAGTAAACAAATTGAAAAAAATAAATCAAATATTAAAAGCCAACAAGGGTAATTTTATTTCCTTCTACATCTATATAAATATAGATGAAACCTATGTAAATATCTAAATGTAGCTCTAACATGAAACCGACATAAAAAAATTAAAAGTTGTGAACAAATTAATTAATAAATAACTATCAAATGATACATTTTGAATTGAAAAAATTTTGATTATTTAAGTGGATGAATGTAACACTATAACTCTCCTTTTAAGAATAGAATCGAATCGTATGATGCTAAATAAGAAAAAAAATTATAAAGTATTGAGTGAGAAAACTTAAAACGTGTAAGTGTAATTTATTCAAAAAAAAATTAAGGTAAAAATGGAAATTTTTTTGTTTTTTTTATATTACTTCGTTAAGCATCCTAGGTTCGAAAATAATAATAATAAAAATAAAAATAAAGATAAAGAAAAAAAATAAGCAAGGAATATTCTAGACAAGAAAATAAAGGTAGCAATATACTTGGGGAATTGATGAAAGCAAATTGCTTTTTTCAACTTTTGAATGGTTTTTCTTATCAAATTCTCAATCATACATTAGAAGGTGGTGGTGGGGTTAGAGAAAGAAGAGAGATGGATACTAACGGATTGTGTAAAAGGAAAGGCTAATCCTTTTTGGATGTTGGGGTTGCTTTGAATCTCATGCCTTCCATGGCCATGCCTTGGGAGAATGTTGGGTTGGTGCCTTAATGTGGCCTTTAAGTCTTAAGTCCAGACAAAAATTATAAAGTGATTGAGAATGTTTCCAACGGCTAGTCTTCTGCTTTTTCTGTCTCTTAAAATTCAAAGGTGCAAAGAGAAAATGAATTGATTCTATCATAAGGGAAAGGGGCCCCAGAGACAGAAAGCACAGCCTAGCAATTGTCCACCTCTCTGCACTTGGTTTAATTAGCTCCGAGATGACACCACCTTGTTCATGTGCTTAACTCAGGCAATGGGATTTCCTTCTTTTGTTCTTGTCAAGATCACTATCAATGTTATATTGCTATGAAAAATATGAACAAATGATTAAGATCTAGATTAATTTATCAAACTATTTGGTAACGGTGATCTCAACTGTCTCATTGATCCGAATTAATCCGTAACACGTTATCAAGGCATTAAAGTAACATGTTAGGTTTTGAATATTAAATTTTATTAAAATAAAATAAGTGAAAAAAATAGTAAAGATATGCATGGCAAAGAATAATGATTTAATGTCCATTTGCTGATGTGAGGAAGAAATTGTCCGCTGATCTGAAATATCTGGTTTTCCATCATAAAACAGCATATGATATGTTTCATGCTTTGTTTGAGTAGTGTTGGGGGTATTGATGAAAACACAGAGATGGATCATGATGCAGCTTACCTAAACTACTGAAATATTTTCAATGACTCCTATTTATCATTTATAAGGGCTCTCGGCTGCTCTTTGCTTGGAGCAAACATTTGCAGATGATGCATACATATATATATATATATAATTTATATGCCTACCAAATTGGCGTTACTGTGGTCCATGAACCAGTAGAAGTTTAGCAGTACAGCATGTGAAGCAAAGGTTTCATCTTTAAGCATCTTTTCTTTTATGGTATTTAATGCATTCATGAAAGCAGCAAAACTGTTGTACTAGGTTAATTCACGACACATCAGATCACTTGTGATTTATCTTTAGTTTTGGTTACTTCATATTTGTAGAAGAGGGAAATGGGTAGCTATAGCACAGAATGGCAAAGGTAAAGAAAAGCATTTGAATGGCAATGAGTGCAAAATGAGGTAGAATGATGGCCCTAGCTGCTTCGAATCCTAATAGTAGAAGAAAAGAAATTTCTATTTTCTGAACATTTGAAGCTAAAGGAACATTTTCAGAAGAATGAATATGAACATGATCCCACTCCTTCAAGAGCAAAAAGCATATAAAGTAGTATAACATGAGTATGAAGTTAGCAAAGAATGATCGATCATTGCCATTGGTGGTGGTCACCCCCTTTTGTTACTGTTGAATTGCATTCATAATTCCTAGCAGCAGGCTGCACAAAACACACATTTTGTTCACATGTTTATCAAAAACAAAAGAAAAAACAATACCCAAAGCTTGAATAGTTCCCTTTGTGTTTAATTATGATCATTTAGCCCCATAACAAGAATCAAAAGGGTAGTCTTTGTTATCTCATGATACATACACAAAGCTCACAAAATGGAACAAAAAGGGAAAGAAACAAGACTACGTGCGTGATTTGATTTGCAAATGGAGAATGATTGGTGCCTTAAAGGGTAGCTTTGGTTTCCTAAGACAAAGGCATGCCAAAGAGAGGTTGGTGGTTAAGATTATGAGAAGAAAGTTGGCTTCTTGTAAAGTTAAATGTGAGGGACAGCTTGTGTTGATTGTGATATTCATAGGACAATCTCCCCTTGTTGACTACATATATGCTAATCTTTTTATGTACTAATCTGCTAAAAAGTTAGCTCTTTATCAACATTATCCAATATTGTTTTCCTTAAATTCTTTACTTCATCTTGAAGGTAACTGATTGCCAAATGATTCCAATGGCTAAGCACATAAAGATGGGGAAGAGGCATATTCTCATGAAAAGACTTCAAGGATTTGGTTAAGATGATAACATAACTTTTTAACAAGAGTGACAAGATTCTCAAACCCTTAAGCTTGATCATTGAGAGCAAGTTCATGTAAACATACAAGAACAAGACAATGGGAAAGCTATTTAGCCCTTTTGGTGCCTCATCTTATCTTTAAACTCAAAAGTTTGTAGGATTCAAGGCACTCAAGGGATCCACAGAGAATTTGGGCTGGCAGTGATTGGGATGGATGGATGTGTGCGTTTCCTCCCTAAAAGAAAGAAAAAAAAACAATGGGTCTGAACCCTTCTTGAAAATTGTGATCAAGGTTGTGTCATCAACAGACATTTATTCTTGTGGACCCTTCGGCTAGTACTATCTAATTACCCCTCTGTTCTATTCTCTCTCTCTCTCTCTCTCAATTTCAAAATCATGGAAATAAAATATGTGTAGAAAGTAAAAATTACTACATTTTTAATTGGTGATATTTGTAGAAATATGGGAAATAATTAGTTACTAGTGGTAAATTGGGTGAAACTTCAAAAGAAGCAAAAAAAAAAAGGGCAGCAAAGATAAAGTAGAAAGGGAATTACTAGAAGAAGAGACAAGAGAGATAAAAACAAAAAACTAAAAAGAAAGATAAAGTCTCTAAATGTGGTGTGGAGTGTGGAATAAAGGCAAGGATAATAAAGAATAAAGTGATTTCCAATAATAATTTAATAAAAGGGAAGACTAAATATCATCTTTTCACCAAGTAAATATGTGAACCAAAAAAAAAAAAACAAAAGAAACTTTGCATGATCTCAACATATATTATCAGTACCCCCCACAAATTAAATATTTATTTATTTTCTGAATTATCCTTAAATTATGTTTCTTCTTCTCTTTAAAATGCATTAATTATTGATAATAAATCATTCACATGATAAGCATGGCACCTACCAACTCCACATTCTAAATAGACCAAATATCACCCTATATTTTTCTTTATTTTTTCCATATTGTTTACAAAGGGTAATTGAAAATTTTGTAGATTTATTAATATATATTATATATATATATAAAGAGGAAAGGAAATGGAGAAATATTAAGAACATGGGGGAGGGGTATGGGCAAAGGATGAGCGCAATTGCCTGAATGAATATTTGTCTGAAGCAAAGGGATTCAGCATCAAACAGCAAACTTACCTGCAGAAAAAGAAAACAGGGTTTTACATTTTTGGCTAATTTCTTTTCTTATCTTTTCTTCAGAGGCTCTCTCTCTCTCTCTGTCTCTCTTGTGCTTTGTCTTCTGCACTCTCTGACACACTGCTCTCTATATGGCGTAAACTTGATGGCTGATAGTGCAAGCAAAGCAAGCACCCCACCTTTGTATTTTTTTTGGTTTGTCTGTTCTTTTTGTTTGGGGTTTTCTTTCTCTTAACTGACTCAATTCCTCTTTTTCTGTAAAAAAAATCTGCTTTTCTTTTATCTCTCTCTTCCTTCTTTTTGGCCTTCACTACTTCTATAAGCCCTTGTTTATAGTGCTTCATAGCAAAACCAACCTGCAAAAGCCGCTCTCTTCTTCCTTTCTTTACCCTTTCTCCCTTCACCACTTGCCGTATGTTTTGGTCCTTTAGTCAAATTAAACCTTCTTCCCTAGTTGAACCTCATTTCTATTTGTAGGATGTGGAAGAGAAAAGAAAACAGAAGGGAATGTATTAGTAGTCTGTCATCTTCCTTCAAGCCATCATTTTCTTTTCAAAGGGAGACCCTGAGTGTTGACTTGCCTTATTTTCTGTCTCACAATTTGTGGAGAGAGAGAGAGAGACTTATATTGGTCTGCTCTCATTTACCAGCAACTGTCTACAGTGACACTGAATTTGCTTCATATTCTTTCTTTCTTTCCCAGTTGACCTTCGAGAAAAATATGAGATGGACATTCAAAGTCTAGGCGGTTGATGACCCTTCTTGCCTTTGTCCTTTGGATCATCAAAAGTGTTTGCCTTCTGTATTTCACATATTGTCCACCAGACACCTTAACTGTTCAAGCCCACTCTCTCTCCTCTCTGCTGTTTTTTCTTTAGTGGTTTAAATATTATATTTTCTGGGGTTAGCTTTCTGCATGGAAGAAGGGTTCTCTTACCAGTGCAAAGAATTGATAGGTTGGATTGTGTTGCTGAGGGAAGGGTTGACATTCTCAAGGGAACACCTAGCCATATAGGATCTAAAGAAGGCAAGTCCTTTTTAATTTTTAATCATTTTGGCCTCCTAACACAACTCGCTTACAGTCACACCTTGTCTGCTTCTTCCTCTTTTGGTCTCCAAACACACTAACAATACACAAATAAATAAACGAAAGAAAGAAAGAAAGAAAAGAGCTGGGAATGGAACTTTCTAGTCAAGACGGGGAAATACCAATCCCATTGAACAGTACATATGGAGGGGGGCACATGATCCATCATGATCATCATGCTGCACCCACACAACCATATCATACATCCTCAGCACCCCAAATCACTTGCACTGGTCCTTCCATAGCCACAAACCTTGATGATGATCATCATGTGGCTTCAAGAAAGTGGTGAGATACAGAGAGTGCTCAAGAACCATGCAGCAGCCATGGGCGGTAATGCCACTGATGGCTGTGGTGAGTTCATGCCAGCGGTGAGGAGGGTAGCATTGAAGCGCTGACTTGCTCAGCCTCAACTGCCACAGAAACTTCCACAGAAAAGAGATTGAAGGTGAGCCATCTCCCTCTTCCTGTGACTGTTACCCATCGCATAGTCCTCATCTGAGCAGGGCTGGGAGGAAACTCTTTCTGGGCACCCACAAGGTATCCTACCTCCTGAGCCTCTAGGCCTAGGGTACCCTACAGCTACTGGGACTCTTATACACTCAAAAGCAGCTCCAAATCCCACACCCCACCAGATGATAATGTCCTACAATATGGGCTCCCTCCCCTCGGAGTCTGATGATCAGGCAGATGGTGGCGGGGTAGTGACTAGGCCACACCAGCTGGTGAAGAAGAGGTTTCGGACAAAGTTTACCCAGGAACAGAAGGAGAAGATGCTTAACTTTGCAGACAAAGTTGGGTGGAAAATTCAAAAGCAAGAAGAAGCTGTGGTGCAACAGTTCTGCCAAAGTGGGGTCAAGAGAAGAGTCCTCAAGGTCTGGATGCACAACAACAAGCTCAATCTAGCAAGAAAAACCCTTCTTCCCACCACCACTCCTACAACAACTCTGCTACATGACAAGCCCAAGTTAATCAGTGTCTCATCTCCTCTCCTCTCCCTCTCTCTTCCTCTCTTACTTTGTGTTTTTCAGTTCCCCTAGCCAGTTAATTAGTAGCTTAAAACCATTCATCCCTTTCTACACCACCTTTATTGTCTTCTTTCTGTTTGTTTTTTTTTTTTTGCCTTTTTCTCAATGATAATATCTATCGTTCTCCTTGGGCTTGTTTCTTGGTTATGGTTACTCAGTAGAGTTTCATCAGTTATTAGTTTATCTGAGTGATATGCATTTTGCAAATCCATGCACTGTACAAGTGGATTGTAACATTTGATATTCATCAGTCTGTTGTACTTGTACCCATATTTTAATCTTCAGAAGAAGCAGAAGAAGAAGATGAAGAAGAAGAGCCTTCTAAATTAGAACCCTTTCTTTATTGATTTTGTAATATTTTGATGAGATTTCTTAGTACTAATATATATATACCCCAATCTGATTATATATTTCACTTACAACATCACAAACTCAATTATGCTACTTCATCTACATTTCTTTGGTGTTCTGAACAGGAAAACGCATGTCTGTTTGCTTTCAAAAGGAACATACCAATGTGTAGCTAATGTTTGCTTGCAAATAGTAATACACTAACTGCTTAATATAATTAGTAGCAGCTAAGCTAAGCTTTACCCACCAGGCCAGACCAGACCACAGCTTTGGTTTTGTTTGTCCTTACACTTTCCGAAAACCTTGGATTCTTTTTGCTGCACCGAGGGTGTACTTGTTTTATGTTTGTTTTGTTTCTAATAAACTTATTAGAAGTGTACCAAGTAGTTCTGCTCTTAAACGTACATGGAAAGGGGAATCAATTAAGAAAGTGAAATGTTTCCTTACACTGTGGAATATAACTAACTAATTATTCAAAGAAATACCTCCAATTAAGTTCATTAATTAAGGTGATACATCGTCTCAAACTATAATATTTATATACTATCACTTGATCACCAAAAATCATTTCATAGACCGACGATGTATCAAATATGTATCAAACCCTTTCGATGGTGTCAGCAAATGTTTGATTACTATTTAAGTTCTTATCATCAATAATATGACAAATGATTACAACTATAATGAGACCTTGAGAAGAGGCTGGCTGGTGAACGTAAAGGTAAGGTATGGAATTAAGAAAGGTTTTCAGTGTTGAGAAATCACGTGTTACATTAAATAGGTGTGGTTAAAAGGGCTGCCAAACCTTTCTTTTCTCACTTAAGTTATCAGCCTCTTGTTGCATTTGTACGTCTGCTTTGCTTTATCCTTCACATGCATCTCTCGTGTATTCAGGTAGAAGATAATCTGGGGTGTCATGGTTATCCCTCATTTATGAGGAAGCATGATCTTCTGAGTCATATTTAATATGCTCAAGGCAGTATATTTAATATAAGCATTTCTGCCACCGAAATGGCATCCGTTCCCACCCCCCAATCAATAATATCATAATTTCCTAGCTTTTCCTACTCCAAGGCCACCCTCACACCTGCAACTTTTAAATATGGTTTTGAAATTCGGAACCTCCCCAACATCAAATGTTGTTATTTGGAATAGATAGAAAAATTCTATAATTGAAGGCGACGATGTGATATATTAATATAATTAATGACGTAAAATGTGATTATTAGATAAACTTACCCTTTTACTGTCAATGTACTAAAATAAATAAAAATTAAATAAAACAGTGAAAGTGGGGGGTTCATCTGACATGATAAGACGGTTGGAGGACCAATTTAAACAGACATGGGCAACAAGGGGCAGGGGTGGAGTCATATCCTAGAGCCTAGAGGCAACTGGCGAAGGACTCCAAAAATGATGAAAGCTGGAGAAAATAGTTTTACTGTGCGACCACATGCATGGCAACAATCCATATAAACATTTGTCAACACATACAGGGACACCCCAGCTTTGTACAATTCCATATATATATTTCCAAGGCTGCAAAGCAAAGAGTCGGTGTGATTTTTTGCCACCGAAGCTGGTCTAAATCACTTGGAGACCATAAGGCCAGAGTGCAGCTGTGTAGCATAGACACACTGTTTACCTGACTAGGTTTGGAGCACAGACTGTAGTAATATGTGATCTCACAGGGAAAATAAAGGAACAAGGTGTATTGAACCCCCAATAAAATTAAATTATACACAGCTTTCAAAACAACATGAATAAGCTGGCACCGCCAATATGGGCACCTAAAAAAGGGCAACACCTCACTCAAAAGGGAAAAAGAAAGCCATAGACCCTCCTGTAAAAGATGGAAACGGGGAAAAAGGATTTCAATGATAAACACTTTGTATATATGTTACACTATGAAACTCATTTCCAATGCTGCATTTGCTGTAACTCATCACTGTGTAATGTCAGCTTCCTGGAAACCATTCCACTTATAGCCCTAAGTGCGGAAAATTGGGTGCTTGCACAGTCTGACCGGCTCAAAGAGAACCATGGCATTCCCACGGTCATCCCAATGGTATATGGCCAATTCTGAACCTCGTGTCATGTAAATGCTCTTGCCAGTGTTGCCTATGGACTATAATGTATAGTCAGAAATTGGTTTGCAACTCACGCATCCAATTTCGGATAAGCAGAAGAGTTCAAGCCTGTTCTCCCATTTAACTCATTAATACAGTCGAGCTCGACCTGGATTAAGAAGCGACTCTGACATCCTCCAACCCTACCAGACAACAAGATATGCAAGTCAAAAGGAGCATAATGAAATGCATAAATGAAAGTTATATGCAAAATTTTCAGGCTATCATGATATTAGAACAAAGTCACTTAACTAACATATGTTTCAAATTCTGACACATTTTCTGACCGAAAGTATGAAATAAATCAAGGGTGGCTGTTTTAGGTCAAATATGCTTTTCAATTTTACCCCTAAGCAACCTTTCTAATGAAGAGCAAAGGACTTTATGTCTCTTCTCAAAATGGCGCTTGAAGCCCCTTATTAGTTAATATGTTTTCTGGCTAGCAACAAAACATGGCACCTTTGACATTATTCAGGCCATGAGATCCAATTCAATGCCACTTCAAAGTTGAAATATGGATTCTGCTGCATTCTCTGTATAACTACCAGAACCACTAATTGAAGGATAGCATGTAAGACCCAACATTATTGTTAACAAATACTTTCTTAAGAGAACATAACGCAAACGAGCCACGGCACTTTTCTATCACCCTCTACATTTTTAGATTAAGCAAATAAGAACCCCTTCAGTCATCATTGAACATGCAGCACATACTTCCCATCCATTTTATAACACTACTAAACAAATCTAAGGAAACTTCCATTGTTTTACTCATTATTAGAGTGATTAGATTCACAATAATCAGATTTATAAATTTATCTCCACATTCTTCTTTTCATCATAGTGGTATTTTTTGGCCCTTTCATATTCTTCTCACTAGTTATTTAACATTTTTTTTTGTTGGCCATATGACCTAACAGATTCACGATCATATATGGTAAAAAAGTTTATATTTCCCTAATACTTCAAGTGAAGATGGAACAATACCACAGTAAGGTATGTTAGCACTATGTACCATTACTAAGTCTATGAGTGTTATTTGTTTTTAAAACTGCATGCACAATGGGAAATCTGAAGAGGTAAAGCCAACTATCTTTATATTTAAACTCATGACAAACAACAAACTTCACTAACTTAAAATCACCTGAAGGGCAAGCTGTTGACAGAGAAGGAGAAATTACAAAGCAAACAGTATTAAAAGAAAATGGTATATTTCAAACAGTGAAGAGCTTACCTGTTCTGCAGCTTTGCTCTTGAAAAGTCCATATGATGTTGAAACCATCTTACATGAATCAGCAATTTGAGCCTCAAAATCAGTAGTTGAGGGGATGAGGTTTGAGTGATCATGTTCTTGCTGACTTCTAGATGAAAATTGACCATTATTTGATGAATGAATGAAATGCAAGAGCACATGTGCCTGTAATACAAGGTGGAATTATAGCTAAACACAATATATGCAACCAAAATATGGTCAGCCAACATAACAAGAATATAAGGTCAACAAGGTTTTCTCACATGAAATGCTGCTTTTATAATGTCATCTGAATTTGCTTGATCCTTGAGCAATGCATATACTTTTCCCTTTGAAGGATTATATGTCACTAAATATTTTTCTTTCTGCCATCAATCAAGAGATACAAGATCAAACAAATCGAGACTAAGTTAATCAAGACAACTTATAATTTAATAGTCCATGTAAGCATATACATGCTTTGTGTGTGTGTGTGTGTGTGTGTTTGTTGTGGGGGGGCATGCCTTGAAACACAATTAATCTCCTTTTAAAGAAGCATACCTCAAAGAAAGGTTCTATCGCAAGATAGGGACCTGGATCTTGGAAAGCATCCTTAAATCTTGACCCTGCCAACAATGGAAGAAATTTTAGATTGAACTCAAACAATGCCAGACCAAAGAGTTTTTTGTCAGGGAAAAACTGTTGAACACAGTTTAATGCACACCAAGAACAACAGGTCTATCCTTCAACCATGGAAAACTGAATATATTTTCCTGCAGATTTCCCTCCTGCAACGAGGGAACTTGCCCTGCAAAGTGAAGAAACACAATGAAGTCATTCAACACCTATTCAAATTGTTTTCATTCATTGACAATGTCATTGACTAGTAGAACAGAAAGAAAATATGGTCTAGAGGCAGTGAAGTTCTATTACAGTTTTACTAACCAGTCTTAAGGAAGGAATCTACCGCCACACTGAATCTCGCTCTATTTAATGTGTGCAACACTACAGATCTAACCTGGAAAGAAAAATTTCAAAAGCTATTATCAGAATATGAGCTTCCACAAGTGAAAAATTGGCAGACAATTTTTAAATAAAAGTAACGTAAATGTTAGCGCATAATCAAACCTCTTGGTAAGAACTGAAGACATATCCACATGAAAGGAGAGCAAATGTGGTAATCAAGGACGGGTTTCTTTTCGAGATCATAATGCTCAGTCCAGTTCCCAGCTTCAAAGAAAATTAAACAGTTCAGTTGAAACCTCATATTTTTAAACAAAAGAAAGACAAACATATCATGCATGATAATGCATACAGGAAAAATCACAAGGATATTGGATATAAAAAATTAGTAGGACTAAAATGAGACAGATCTTCTTATTGCAAAAGCACCAAAGCAAACATATTTACTTCTGCATGACTAAAAAACCAACATTCACAAAATACAGGTATAAAGCTCCAACATGATTTATTAATAATTTAGTGATATCAGTAAAATTTTAATTTCAAAAGCCTCCAAAGAGCACCAAAAATAAAAAACCAATCAGCATCCACATTAACATGCCAGCAAAAATTTCAAAATCAATTAAACTGTACCTAATCACAATATCCACTGCTCAAGTTCAAATTTGTCCAAGGCAACAATTGCAGTGGTGCTATCGCACATAGATTAAATCTTGAATTTCTTAGTGTCTTCAACCAAATTGGATCTCTCCATCTATTGCCAATTGATTTAGGTTGGATGCTTAACATGGCAACAGAGCCTTGCCCAAGTTTGTTATATTGCTGGTTATTCTTATTGCTTGTTGCCCCCTAAGTGTTTGTCCACATGGCAGGCACATTTGTTTTGATTGTTATATCAGGCCAACACGTGAGGGAAAGCGTAGAGTGGTGTTAATCTGAGTTTCCTATGCTCTTATATTCAAGTTGAGTCTCTCCACCTATTGCTAATTGGTTTTAGGTTGGATGCTTAATATTAACCAAACACTATTTTGAGTCAAATATTGAGACGATGTATCAACATTTTAGACTTAGATGTTTCCTCTTTTCACCGAGTGTCTACAGATTGCACAGCTGCTTGATACAAAAACATGTTCAGTGCAAATCACATGCATTTACACATCATCTTTATATTTATTTTTTTTGCTTTAATTCTGGACAACAGAAGATGGTTCTTGTTTTTTCTTTCTGTTCTGTAAACAGAACTATAAAAGTATCAAACCATCATGCAGCAGCAGCACCTGACAGCAAGCTAATACATATTGTTTGCTCTTTATCAGCACCAGAGATTTGACAGGTTCTGACCATCATGGCCATTGTAATTGCTACTGCCACACTCAATATGTTAGCTTAAATAGACTATATAGCAGGCAAACCAAACTCTCATTCCAATCAGTCAAACCATATCTATTTCCCCAATACACCATCTAAAGCAACTTTCCTGTTCACTCTTCTGCTCTATTATTTCTTCCATGTTATGTTACTAGACCTTTGGGTTAGGGTTGAAAACAGGCATGTGTCTTCACACATGTATGTTTAATTTTTCCTAAGTTTTTCCTTATATTTGGAGGGTTAGACCTCCATACTCATGTGATAAGTGATCAATAAGGGAACCTCAAGGAAATGAAGAGTCGGAGCAACATAGCTTCCATGTACTTTCAGAGTCTGACCTTACTCTTTTAGTTCCTTCTAATAATTCCTATATCATAACAAGTCTGTTACTTGCATCTACATTGCACATTTCCAAGCAACTTTCAAACATCATCCTTCCTATTCCACCGCAGTTCTCTTGTTCATGGATATAGTCATTTCTTAGTTTATCTTTCCTCATATTGCAACCCATATCATTGCTGTTTTAGAAATAATTAACCTTAAAGAAAATTATGTGTCTATGTAAAGAACACTACTTCATGCTATCATGACAATTAAAAGCATACCAGATCTGCAATATTGCCAACACATTCTCCTTTAGCTGTGACATCTCCGATGTTTTCTCCTTTCGCAAAGGCTTTGTAAATTGGTGTCCGAGTCGATGTTGATGTTACAGCAGCAACATTCTACAAGTAAGCATAAAGAATTAAGAATGCAGTAGGTAATCGACCACAAAGGCATATGTTGTAAAGAAAACCATTCAACCTTTGCCACGTTTGCAGCACAAGCCAAAGGAAGAAAAAGATGAGGCACAGCTGCAGTTACCAACTCTACCCCAGCACCCATCTCCATAAGAAGGTCACCAGCAAACCGCAGCTACAACAAATTGGAAGTTAGAATTTCATGAGAAAAGTACCTGCAACTTCCACCACTCCATCTCCAAAAGGAAACATTACCTGTTTTAGATCATAATCAAATTTCTTTCCTTGCCGAGCAAAAAGCATTTTACCAACACGACCAGCGCCATCCTGCAAACATAGTGAAACTTTATCTTGATAGAATGCCAATTTGGACCAACCATTTTTTTTTTTCTATGCACCACATTCAATACAAAAGGATACCCCCAAAAGGCAATAATATATAAGGGTAAGGTAACAAAAGGTTGTAAAGGAAAACTTTGTGAAACTAACACAGTTTGACTACAGAATGAATTCTAAGAACTTACTTCTTGAATGCTTTTCAAATGCCAACAAAAAGTAAAATTGAGCATCGAGATATTTCATTTTAGAAAGATATAAGTGGATATTTTAACTTTGGCAATTGCAATTAATGGCTCACTCAAAAAAAAAAAAAAGCAAATAGTAACTCTGAACAAATGCCATATATATGCTACAGTTGCACTTTCTTTCCCACAAGCAGTACCCACAAAAATGGATTTTTTGCAAGCAATAAGGAAAAACACAATCAGTTTCTTTTAAAAGGAATTCTGAATTTATAACTTTTTCTTCCTGCATTGTAAGAAAGAATTTTATCAGCTTTACATCTTGTGGTGAAAAAGTAAACAGCGAGAAGCTTCCTCGACAAGCTTCCAGAATGAACAGGCCACCATAAACACATATTAGCCAGTTTTGCACGAAGAGTAACTCATCAGGTCAAAAAACTATTGAACAAATTACCCATACCGTGTTAGTATTGCTAACATGTATTCACTTTTGAAGAGCAGCTGCTCCCTAATAATTTAATATTAGAGAAGCCATTGAACAAATTAATACCAACCACTGAAAATTAATTATGATTTGCACACTAATATTCAGAAATGTATAGTTGCAACAAGGAGCAACCACAACCTTCAGACAGAACCTAGTTTCTACTTAGAGGAACATTTTAGTGCTAAGACAAATAGCCCTCAGGATTTCCAACTAGGCTCACTGCATCCTTATTAACTGTTTATATAAGAGAATTCGTAAGCTTTTTTTTTTTCCCCATTAATATATTAATGCTTGATAAATGCAAACCAGAGGAAGATTGTGCTCATAGACCTGGCAACTAGACAACCAGAAGTAGTGCCAAGACAGTTGTAAACTAACAAAGCAAATGTAAGCTTGTGTTTTTCAGCCACCAAACTTACAGAAGAAGGTATATGTTGCCAACTTCAATCATCTTACATCTTCCCTACCTTGAGAATCCAATTGATAGCGACAGCACCAGGAGTAGCTCTATTTCTAGAGACCCCAACCGAGCTCAAAAGGGTTTGCGTTGTGAAAACACCCATTGCCCCACCAAAGAAGTGCTGCATTGAACAAGATGGTAATCAGTAAGGTATTTAAGGATACTAAAATAACTAAATTGAGAGGCACGGGCAAGTCTTGAGTCTTTTATCGCCCTTTACTTTTCCAATATGCTAAAAAGCCACCTTCAATGCTCTCCATGTCATGTATGGCACGTACGAAGGAGTAACACTGTCAGGAAAGCCCTCAGGCACCACATATGATCGCACAAACGACATCAATTCCTGCGCCATCAATTAACCACAATTCCAGTCATCCCACAAGCACAATGCAAGTGTTCTAAACATATGCAAATCCAACAGTAAGAATAAGACCTTGTGGCTTCGATTGGATTATAAGCATCTTTTTACAGCGAGAGTTATTATTATAAGAAAAAACAAATAGCCCCAGTTACTTACTCATTCTCTTCCTTTTTGGTTAATAGTAATTATGTTTACCACTTCTATGAAGCACTGAGAACAACAGAAGTCAAATAGTAGTCGTAACAGGAGGGGAAAGGGGTAATAATGACAAGTAAAAAAATGGGTGAATTCTTGATAGTGAATTAGTAGTATATATTTGAGCAAAAGGGGTCATTGCAATTTTAAAAATTAATAATAACAATATTCAAATGCCATAAACATAAAGCAAAAATAGAGCACAAAAATTGGTCAAACAAGAGAATGAGATTGAAAACAATAAAGGCAGGATTTGATATACCAGTAATTGATTTTCTTTTCGTTTTTATTGCAAATAAGAAAAAAGCTTACATCAACAGGGGCCTGAGGGTTGTGCAAGCTGAGAGCGCGAATGGAATTGCTCTTGAGATTTCCAAAAGGATCTTTCTCCGCCATGTACTTCCATCTCCTGCCGTCGATTTCCTCGCAACATATCAATTTCAAGCTCGATTCCACAAATTCCTCCCCCACCAATCCCATCCTCCGATTTTCATCCATCAATGGGATCGCCGCTCCATCATTCATGCAGCTTCCGCTGCTGCTAGTTACACCCGCATTCGTCGCCAGGTTGGCGCTGATACGCAGCGTTTCGCGGACGAGGAGGCGAGACTCCTGGGAGGTCAGGCTTTGGGCGGTGGCGTTGGGGTTGGGCGGGGATTGCTTCACCTTCACCTTCATCTTCAACCGCTGGTCGTTAGCAGGAAAGAATTGAGAGGAATTCCTTGGGTTTGGATTGTTTGAAAAGAAAGAAAGCGGGGAGCGCTTTTATCGTGCCGATTTGGCTTTGGTTTTAACGACAATGAAGCATTGGAAAATTCCCGCTGGGGGAAGGTCGCCTACAGCCTACACCGTACGACTACAAATAACTACTTGTCATTACACAGCAAGCCTTTTTCTTAGGGACTGTTTGCCTTGCTCCTATTTCCAACTATTTAAAAATGAAATACATTTTTCAAACTTTTCTTTTTCATATAAACATTATTATTTTTTTAAATCTCATTTCTCTCTAGCATTTTTTTTCTCTTATTTCTGCCATAAAATGTATTGTTTCAAAAAATCTCGAGTTATTGATTGGTTTTGGTTTCTAAGCTAACTTGGATTCGGTGTGAGATGAATTTCAGAATAATATAATGTTCAAATAAATTTTTATATTATTTAAAAATTAAATTAATTTTTATAATTAATAATTAATAAATAAAAATATAGTAATTTAATTAAAAATTTAAGTGTTTTTTTTTCACAGTATTATTTTGTTTGGCAGACCGGTCCTTAAATTAGTACCTTAGTTTCAAAAAAATAATTAATTAATAATAAATAATAGTGTTTCACATTTAGCATGTGGTATCATAGAATTAATAAAAGAATAAGGAGTGAGGAGGAAGACAAGAGAAAGAAAGGCGCAAGCAAACAGGGCGTAGCGGGTTAAAAGAGGGAAACAAAGTTGGGTTTATGTCGTTGTGCGACTGTAGTTGGAAGAGCCACACAGTTGTTGTCTGGTCGAAGCCAAAGACACAAATTGCATGGAATTGGATGACATCTATGCTACTCACTACTACTATGCCTTTCTTTCTTTTTTGGAAGTACATATCAGAGTACCTTATAGCTACAACAATGTTTAATTAGTATTTACATGATAAATAAATATTTATTATTATTATTATTATTTCATTGTTTTCTAACTTAGTTTCCTTTTAAAATTAATAAGGAGATTAATTTAAAATTAATCCAAACTATAATGTATGTTATACATGTATAAAAGGCTAGCCAAATCTTATTCATAGTTTAATTTTAACTAACTAATTAACAGTAATGTAATGTAACTCTTAATTACACATGTCTTCTCTTTGTATTTTTTTTTATGGGTTTAGGGTTTACGAAGTGCTTTTATTTTCAAAATAAAGTCTCGCATAATATGAAAAAAAGATTTTACATTTTAAAGGGTATAATACTTAAAAAAAAAATTTAAATTATTCAAAAAATTTTAAATATTTTTTTACATTTAATCAAAAGTTTATATTTTTATTTTAAAATAAATAAATTCTTATAACTAAAATTTGATCAGTTATTTTTAATTAAAATATTATTTATTATTTTATATTATATGTTATATTAATATGTCATATTTGATGATAATGTAATATAATAAAATGAATATATGATATTCTTATTAAGTGATTTTTTAATTAATAATAATTTTTTTAATTTTTTTAAAAATAATAAAAAAACTAATACAATGAAAACAAATTAAGTAAGAGGGCATGGTAGGTAATAAGAAGATAAAGTAGGGGCATTGGTGTAAAATTGCGAACTTATAAATGAAGCAATTCCAGAAGGATGATCATATCGTCGTGTTTGGCAAAATCTCACTCCCAAACCCTAAAAGGAGTCGAAACCATCAAAAAACCGGAGAATAGGATTTTGTAAAGGGAAAATACAATGCAAGGAGCAGATGAGCTAAGCATAGAAGAGCTGGCTTCAAATCTGTCTACGTATAAGGAACAGCTTCAGCAGGTTCGGTTTTTCTTTCTTTCAACTTAGTTTTCGCAATTAGCTTTAATTTGTTTGCAAATTTTCGTCTGCTTATGAGCCAAGTATTTGATTGGACTAAATTATATGTTTTTCGAACGAATTATTTGGGTTTAAGGTTTTTTTTTCATATATACTTTAAAATTTATTAATAAAGTATTTCGTAATTGTGAGATATAATGTGTTTTCCGCAGTTTTGACATTGCTTGCTGAGAAAAGTGGAGGAATTCTATGTTTTCTGGTTCTTCTATTTAACACGACTTATTATTAGACTAAGTAGAGGATTCTGGTGAAAAACAGGTTCGACAGCTTCTGGTTGATGATCCTGGAAACCTTGAATATGTGGACATGGAGAAGGAGCTCGCAGAGGTGATCCTTCCTTATGCTTATTTTCTTTGTGTTTATTCTTTCATTTCATTTGATTTTTTCGATAGTAGTTTTTTTTTTTTTTTGCTTTTCATTTGTGGTTCTTTCCTCTATCTTGTCATGTTACGGTTACAGTTCGGTTTTTCTGTTGAGAAATGGAACCAACCTACTACCCAGCACCAAAAAGTGATAGAAATACCAGTTTTAGTTACTGGGCTTTTATTTAGATGTCAAGTTTTACAATAAAGTGATCAAAATATCATTTCGCTTCCTTCCCTATTTTGAAGGAATCAACGTGTTGCTCAAACAAGCAACATCAATTAACTGCTACTGGCTCTGCTGGAGGTTTGTTTTCATTTCAGGGTTGAAAAGGTGAGGATGGTTCATGCATTAAAGAAGTTCACAGCTGCAAAAATGTGAACTTTAGGGAGAACAAATTTTTTCTGAAACTATAGAGCTTTGCATGATGCCCATCACTTTGATCTTGATTCCTTTGCAGGTGTGCTATGTGTCGTGATGGCTAGCCTGCTTCTCATTCACCTGATTTCCGATGTTCACTCTCAGATTCTAAGTTCGAAATTTGATAACAATTCGCCCTTTATTATTTTACTAAATGTATAGATTTTTGCTTAAGATGTATACTTGTGCTGAAGTTTTGGGCTGCAGGTGATTGCTCTGACGGAGGAACTGCTTGCAACTGCAAAGCAAAATGAGATTTCTGTATCAGATATTGGGACTAGTTATAGTTCACCCCCTGCACAATCAAAGGTGATTAAAATGGCTAAGTTAAATCTTTGATTTATTTTTGTAGTTCATTTTGTTTGTCAGAAATGGTTCCTTATCCACGAAGACAAGATTCTGAATTGAAATGGGAAATTTCTACAAATTTTTTGCAAATGTATGCATATGGATGCGGCAAATTACATTGTTTTCTTGTGTACAATTTGTCACATGACCGAGCCTATCTTATGCGTGTATCGGATGCAAGAAGTTCTTGCACGTCACAACAACATTAGCATATCATAGGTAGTTGGGACAGGTAGTTGAATAACAGAATTTGTTATTGCAATTGAGAATATTTATTTTCAAAATCTCCAACTATTGCCTTGGTTTAATTTATATTCTTCTGTAAAATTTGTTAGGCAACAGAAATCTTTTTTCTTTTGTTTATTACATTGGAAAATGCATGTTGATCCAGCAGGCGATTAGAGTTGTTCTTTTGATGTGTATTTTTGCTGATGTAGGAGATCTCTCTATTCTTTTAAGCACTCACATAAATGCTTTTGTCTTATCTAGGAATCAGGGAAAACATCAGATTATGGGGATAAATTTCCTGTTGGCACAAAAGTTCAGGCTGTCTGGAGTGAAGATGGAGAGTGGTATGCAAAGAAACAAGGATATTGTAATTTTAACCAATTGTCTTTTCCCTCCCGTTTCTTTTACCTACTTTTCTTTTCTGTGTTTGATTAGTTGAATATTCAGGTATGATGCCACTGTTGAGGCTATTACTCCAAATGGGTATTTTGTCCTCTATGATGGATGGGGAAACCAGGAAGAGGTACAATTCTGGTTGCCAAATTGGATTCTTATATTCATACATCTCTCTACTATTTTTATATTCTATAACTTGTTAGCCTATTTGATAATTTAGTTAGCATTAAAGTGTTGTTAAGGCATGTGCCTTGGTGCTAAGGTGCAGTGACAGACAACAAAAGTGCCTCAGACCCATTTGGGTGAGGTTCATTGGGTCAGGTGTGCGCATAGGCACTCTTTTTGGTAATAGGTGCATAAAAAGCCCATTTGATTGAAGTTCTTTGATTTGTTTGTTTTTTAATTTTTTTCATTATGCTTTTTCCATTATGATTTTTAATTTTTAATTTGAAGACATCCAATTGCACTTTTTACCTTGTAGTTTCAAAACCTACACTTTTACCCCTTGATTTTCTGTCAGTAGTTTAGCAAATGTTGAGTATATTGCCTCTTGTGTTAAAGGCTGTATGACATAACACTAAACTTTGGAATCTCGAAAATACCCTAATTGACATGGTATGATTAGATTTCACAAATAAAAATAATTGGTTGCAATTGAAAGGAAGATCATCAAACTTGGAACAGAACCGAAAGCCATTCAACAAATAATCACATGAAGCGGATTTTTTTTTTCCAATAAAAAAATAAAAACATGTTTATTGTTGCAGGATTGTTCAAATTAGATGAAATCAATAAATACCCAGTATAAGTTTTTCAACAAGGAGGAAAAAGGAGGCTTCAGTTACTTGCCGCTTTGATCCTTTAACTAGAAATGACAATACTTTGTCAATTTTCTATCACTGAATAATCCAAGGAGCAATATGTGGATGATTACATGATGAAACAAGGGTCCTTTTTTGTGGAATTCTGGGAAATATATAAAGGAAGAGGCTGTAAGAAGAGAATGCCGGAAAGCGAGAAAAAGAGCGGTAAACATTCATTGAATAAAATGAGTAAAGAGTCCTTTGTGACTGTTGTGGCAGTTGAGTTTTTGATCTCTTCATCTGAATAAAGTTTTTGCTAGCAATAAATGGTTTGATTAATAGGGTTTAACGGTCAAGCAGGGAAGTGTAATCATCATTTAGCAGTCTATCCAGGGGTTTTGTTTTTTACTCTTAATTCCCTATGGTTTTTTTTTCTTTTCTTTGGGGTCTACTTTTACGTGATGAAACTGATTTTTGTTGATAAGACATGATTCCACTTTGACTGGAACCCAGCATTGCAGTTTTTTATTTCCTTATGCCTGTATCCCTGAGTTGAATATATCCTATGCTGTTAATAGAAACCTTGTTTGGGAGTCCTTTTTTTTTTGTGATTTTTTCTAATTAACCATTGATAGAAATATGTTCAGACAGAACTTATGTTTTTTGCGACTTGTTTGTCATTTTCCTTTAGTGCCTTACAAACTCCTTTC